GCCTATGAGGAAAAATCGCAAAGCGGTTTTTGCGATCGCAAAATCCGCATCGCTATGCAGATTCATCATTAAACGGGGCGCTCATTATGCGAGGCACCACTTTATTTCCAATTGTGCAATGGCAGTCTTTGCACAAACAGGTGATGCCATGTTATCAGACTGTCAGGGCTTCATTCTCTAATCATGTCCAATAGGATCATAGTCAAAACATTTTTGCATAGGGAATGTGTAAAATGATTTTTTTGAAAAGATCAGATCCATTAATACAGCACCATCTTGGTCAATGAGAAAAACAGGCAATGATGAGGGGGCCAAATATGCTCTCATCAACAACAGCTAGAAGCTAAAGTGAACAAACAAAAACCTAGATTGGATTTCCTTACAAAAACACTATGTAATTATTCTCATTGCAAAGGATGAAATAACAATAGGTTTGCAAATATTTACATAATATCTTAAATATATGGTACCATTTTTCTTTATAGTCAGCATTTTTGCTTATTTAAATGTTTGACTCAGTTTTTAGGAATCCAAATCCTATTCCACTGGAGTAAATTCATCTGGGGGTTCATCTTGACCCGGCGCTTACCATGGAGACCCAGGTAGTGTCCGTGGTTCGGTCTGCGCATTTACATCTTCAGCGGGTCACCTAACTGCGTCCCTATTTAGAAGCGAGGGGGGGCTTACCACGCTGGTTCATACGCTCGTAGTCTCAAGAATAGACTAATGTAACACTGTCTATATGAGGCTTCCTTTGATGAGGAAGCTCCAGATGGTCCAGAACGCCATACGCACGTAGTCTCAAGAATAGATTAATGTAACACTGTCTATATGGAGCTCCAGATGGTCCAGAACACGGCAGCCAGGCTATTAATGGTTGAAAAGATTTCACCATACTTCCCCCCAACTTGGCCGCCTTACACTGGCTACCTATCCACTTCCGCATCGATTTCAAGGTGCTAACTATTATATACAAAGCCCTTAACAGTTTAGGCCCTGGAAGAGCACCTTCTTCCACCCAGTTCTACAGCTCCAGTCAGGCCAGGTGGCTGAGCGACCTAATGCCAAAAGAGGCCCGGTGGGAAAAACTAGAAATTGGGCCTTCTCGACAGTGGCCCCTCACCTATGAAACAACCTACCTGTAGAGATCTGCCTGGCTCCCTCGCTGAGGGCCCTCAAGATTAGCTTTAAAACATGGCTATACAGGCAAGCCTTCCCTACAGCCATTACCTAGCCTATCTTCCTTTTCCTTTTCTCTCTCTTTCTTCTTTTTCTTCTTTTTTCCCACAACATAGTCAGAACCTATCATTCCCTCCCCAAAAGTTAATCCTAACCATTGGGGACTCCGGGGGATTGTGGGGGGTACGAAATGGGCAATGGAAATGGAAGGGAGCAGGAAAACATTGGAAACACTCTCTCGACTTGAGCAATAATGTATTTACAAAGTTCTTATCATGTAAAATCCCAAATGGATAGTCTGCTTACTTACCTGTATGGTCTGTACTGGAGCTTGATGAGACAGTCTTACATTTTGCAATGAGGAATGAGATCTCAGTTTTCTATCCAGGAACACTTCTTTGCTACATGCATAACACCAGACACGTAAAGTGGTAAGGTTAACAGTCAGACAGTGCTTTGTTTCCTAAAAGACAAAACCAGGGAGCGTGTGGATAGCAAAATACCCCAAATCTTTTGTTTACATGAATGGTTTTAAAATGAGTTTTAAAATGCATTTTGCTGATGCCAACCAGCACTATTCAAATACTCCATACCATATTACAACCTGCAAAGTAGTATATCTCACCACAAGTATGTCTCACCACAAGTATGCAGGTAACCGATACAGTGCTACCATTTCTGTTTTAGATAAAGCTATGCAGATAATAATGACACTTTTATCCTCTATGCTTTACATGAAACTTTAGCAGAGCATGAGTCAGAAAAGGAAGCAGGGAGAAGAAATGGCTCCAGCCACATCTATCTGAAAACAAGACTGGTAGAAAGCATTAACATACTAGATCCAGAGGACTCTGGCAACTGCATCAAGCCCAAATCATAACTGTCCACTGATAGACAGGGACAATGGAATAGACAAAGAAAAAACAAGACCTGCTGAGATGTAGCCTTGCTAAACAGTTAACTATGAAATTCAGAGTAAATTGGGAAGCTCCATTTCTGACCCATACACTTGCCTGTTTCAGCAAGTGCTGCAGGCAACAGTAGCTTCACAAGGTCAACACTCTGCAAATGAATTAAGTAGCAGTGACATGGAGCCACCCTCTGCAATGCCATTTCCCCTGCTTTTGGCTTTCATTTGGGCTTCTTAAGAACTACAGGTTGTCACACTGTGCTTTATTATATTGTATTGTATTTTATTGTTTTAATAACTATTTTATGTGTTATGTCGAAAACCATGGCTACTAGCTGGTATAAAATGTAATAAAGCAACACAATGTTCTATTTGTATAATGTCAGCTCATATGTTTTGGAGGGCAACATTGTGTGGTGGAGAAAAGATGTGGTACCCTGCATAATCTTGTAAATGTGTTAATATTGAGTTCAAGGGACTTTTGTTTCTCAGAAAGGCACACAGGGAAATACGTGGTACTCTGCATAATCTTGTAAATGTGTTCAAGGGACTCTTGTTTCTCAGAAAGGCACACAGGGAAATAGGAAGAAAGAGACTGAAACGAAGACCACAAACCGGACCTCCACTTGATTTGGCAGTTCATAGTAACCTTTAACCCCACTCTGCATAGAAGCTAATATTCTAATTGTGGGTTATTACAATGTACTGCAAGGGACAGCACATTTCAAGTCCAGACCACAGTTGTTTATGCCTCTCACTTTTCTAGGAGTCTACTTCAGGTCTGAAAATCAACTGTGCAAAAGAATGTGGTTGTGCTGGTTCTTACTCTTTCAATGGCACTTTGCAATGAAGTGCTGCCTCACCAGTCCCCGTTTCAACATTTTCAGGTCATCAAGCCCAAACCTTTCCCAAATAATCTTCGCAAATACAATCTTCAGCCTGGACACTATTCTATTGTAAAATTACTGGGCTACTCAGAAATAGAACAACTTATTGGCTAAAATCCATAGTAAGTCACAACTCGAATAGGATCACTGGATCAATGAAGATTTAGTAAGTCAACTCTTCCATAAGTTCTACTGATATGATGGGCCTATTCTATGTGTGACTTACTACCACATTTCAGACAATTAATGAAGTCAAAACTAACAAAAATCAATGCATCTACTGTAGTTGAGACCAATAATTGTAGTTTGACTATCAGTGGTTTCATCGTGCTGTTCCATATTGTTACTGCAGCAGCTCCAGCACAGTTAATGATGAAAGACAGATTAGGTCATAAGATTTTGCCACTATAGACTCTGCATGCTGAACGGCCAGCATTGTTCTTATATGACTGAAATCAAGCAATTTTAGATTCTAATCTGAACATTTTTATAACCCATATTAGTAAAGTAGCATTGAAGAGAAGTGGTCAGAAACAGTCTCAGAAGAACAGGAAGACCTGAAGGGCAAAAATAGCTTAACCTCCCAAAAGTTGAGAATCTGTGCACATACAGTACCTGAGAATGGATAGTGCTGTGATCTACATGAGATTCTCCACAACCAACATACGAACATTTATTCTGTCAAATGAAGCAGAATAATTATTAACAAGATGTAATATACGGTGGTAACTCAATCCATAGCAGGCTCCATACACACAACCATGTGCAAAATCCTGCTGACAAAAAATGCATGGCACAAAAAAATCACCCTACATCACCGCAGGCTGTCCTGACTTGCTGGCGGTGATCCAATGGCAGCTTTTGACTATTAAAGACTTCCCACTGTCTCGAGGCTCCCAAAGGTTTTCCCAGAGCAAAAAGGAGCCCGAGGGAGCCTTAGAAACAGAGCGGGATAGGGGAATGAGAAGCTTTCAATTCATTTAAATTAAATATCACTGGTGCTAGATCCTGTTTACAAGTATTCAGCGTCACTTTAAAAGTTTCTACTCAATTTAAGAGTGGTAAAAGAGTGTCAAATGCCCCCACTGAGAAATAGGTTGCTGTTTCTCAAAGGAACCTAACAAGGCTAACTGGACCAAGACAGTGCAGTGACATCCACAAAGATAACTGTTTTGTAATGCACACTTTTGGGCTCATTTTACTTCACAGCTAAGCATCTCTTACTGAGACTTGCATAAGTAATTATTCATGGTAAAAGCTGCAAGAAATATAATCCAGTTTGCAATGATACACTTTCCAGTGCCGCTGACCTCAAGCATGCATGGGTGATTACTGCAAATCTCCAACATTTTAAAAAAATTAGATGTTCGCACATGGCCTTCCTTTCAAAGGACAGCAAGTCACTTAAATCCCCAATAATAGTTTCTTTTGTGATCAACCAGCAGTTTATTTTATTCTTTGTAGCATACTACTCAATCTATCATATATCAACCATAGCTTACAGTTACACTTTATGCTTTATTACATGTGCATTTATATAAACCTTTACTGCAACTATCTGAGCAACATGAAGATTGTAAAGACTTTATTATAATGAAGAGCAAAAAACTTTAAAGTGTAACAGTGCAAAACAGTGTAACATTTGTAGTTTCAGGAGAAAAGCACGAACTATTTGTTAATAATTAACAAATCATTTAGTGCCATTAGAAGCAGCTCAAATAAAAAAAGAACATTACTATAACAGCATGATACAGCAAGCCTTAAGAAACATTTAATACTTTAAAACAAACTAGCAAAAATAAGCATTATACTGTAATCTCTTTCTGAACAAAAGTAGTGACACAGAAGTGCCAACATTTGGAGTGGTAGCTCTTATGAAGCACTCACTGCAATGTTTAATGTCCTTAAGGCAATGAGTTATGCAGCTTACATAGAGTATGAAGCACTTCATATTGAAATACAGTCTAGAATAAAAGTATAAAGTGGACTTTCAAGGCAGGGTCCAATGCTGGCCCTTGCTGGTGGATGAAAAGAAGGAATGTGATTTCCCCCTTCCACTGCAGTTTTTTATGTGCCTCAAAAATCTGCCCTGAAGGGTTGGGGCAACACCCCTGAACCAATCTTCTGGCAGGTAATGGGGGGAAAGAAAGAAAAGGGAACCTTGCCAAACTGATGTTGTCCTGCTGGGTGTAGCTTTATCCAAATACACCTATGCTTTGTCTAGTACCTGTTATTTCTCCTCCTTTTGTTCCATTTCTTTGACCTCCTTCTTCGTGAGAAGACATTATTTCAAAGCAAAGCAAAAAAGCTTGACGTACATAACATTCAAAAGCTTGCCCAAAATCATTTTTGAAAGAAAGAGATGCTGGAATTCCTTTTTAAAATGTTTCTCAAAAAGGCAGGCAAGAGTACACAGATCCCTTCACAGTAAAGTATTTCAATCAACCAACACTGTTGGCTACAGTAGTAAATTGCAAGTCCATGATGCAACTGAACTCTAACATACTGTTGCTGTTAAAGCAAGAATTTCAATACAGTACTTTGGGGTTCAAAGCATTACTTAAATATGGATTCAGATCTGGATACAATATAAACTTTCTTAAGAGACAATTAAAATATGCAGCAATACACCCCAGAATAATCATAGGCAATCCAGTACAAAGTGAGTTCCTACCGGGGTGGTAATTGCGCCAAGCACCCATAGCACCTGGTGCTGATTCCTCACACTGAGTTTTAATTTTAAAAATTTCCCTTGTATTATATAAATCATACACACATCATAACATATCCACATGTCAATTCAACTTACTTCTAAGCATGCCCAAAGGTTTGGTCCTTTCACTTTACAGTCCTGGCAAGTGCCCTATTAAACAGAGAATCATGTGATGAGTTAATACAAATAGTGGGGGGAAAAGTAAAGTGCTTTTTAAAAATTCCTCTTATTTTTATTTTGGAAAGACTCATTATGTGGTAGCTCATCAGTTCAGGAAATAGATTATTTTATATGGGTCCTTTAATTTTGAAGAAAACATAAATACGAGCTCTCTTCCTACAAAATCCATTAGTAACAGCTAGAATCTAGTTAGTTACACTCACCAGTCTAATTCCATTGGTGTAACCTTATATGGTGAATTGATGCAAATCATGTCAGTGTAAGCACTTTCTATCACATACCAATTCTGTGAATTGATGTGAATCAGAAAATACTTCTATAGGCTTCTTAACTTCCTGCTAAAGGTTTCACCAGTGGAGTTAGGCCAGCATAAATATGTGATCGCGTTCAGGCCAATATCTTTTATCCTAGTGGTACAAGGTATTTTATTTTTATTTATTTTATTAGATTTCTACCCTGCCTATCTAGACCAAAAGTCTATTCTGTATAGCTTCTCCTGTGTTAATATACAAATGCAATACCTGCAGAAAAGAGTGTATTTTATTCTGTATTTAAGTCGAACAGTGGAATCCTATGCAAATCTATGAAGCAGTAAGCCCAATGGGTTCAATGTAATTTACTCCTAGGAAGGCCTGCCACTGAAAGAGTGAAAATGTTAAGTCCACATGAAGTCACCTTCCCTTCATCCAAGCATTAAAGTTTTAGCAACTGCTTCAAAATCCCATACTGATTTAGACTCTCTCAGACACAGAAATACATAAAGAGAACATATCCTAAATTTAAGATAGAAAGGAATGGCTTTATCCATTTAACACTTAGTACTGAAATACTTTGTGGAAGCTGTACTTTAATTCATTCAAGACAAATATAAGTAATAAAAATTATCTAACATAACACTGTCAAGAGACCTACTCAGTTAAAACTCACATGAGATTTGTTTATCAAATCTTCCTTGGTGATCTCACCAACAAATTCCAGATGTGAGCAATCGTTGCTTAGTGCTGACATTTTGAAAGCAGTCAATTTCACCATCAGATATCTACATCTTGAGAAAGGAAACAGTGATCACACTCTGACATGTTACAGGTGCAATCAACAACAGCATGTAGCAAAGCTTAAGTCAAGGTTAACTATACAGTTATACAATAACACTGCACAATGAATGCATATTTACAAAACAAAAACAATTAATGCTAGTGATGTGCTGCTTGTAGACAAGAATATATTTATAAAATGTGTTGGAACTACAAAATACAGTAACTGCCTGCCCCTGAAGAAAACAATTATTTCCTCCCCTACAGTGGGGTCTTGACTTGAGAACTTAATCCATATTGGAAGGCAGTTCTCAAGTCAAAAAGTCTGTAAGTCAAGTCTCCATTGACCTACAGTGCATTGAAAACCGATTAATCCCGTAACAGGCTGTTTTTGTTCCATTTTGGTTTTTTTCTGGTCTGTAAGTCAAATCTCAGCCTGCAAGTCAAACCTAAATTTTGCAGCCAGAGAAGTCTGTAACTCAAAAAGTCTGTAAGTCAAGCTGTCTGTAAGTCAAGGGTCCACTGTATTTCACAGGGCATCCTGTGGCTGTCTAGACATGGCTGAACTGCAACTGCGATCAGTTCTAGCTAGCAGACCCAAAGGGGTGGGAGGGCTAGGGAACTTACCCTCTATGTAACATTATTGGTCCCCATTCTAAACAATGCAGTGACATTTCTGAACAGAGATATCAGACACCAAAAAGAAAAGAAATTCTTCATATGCAATGCAAAAAACTCCAACAATTCAGCTTGAAAATTCTCCACTAGTAATAAAAGATTGGACGGATTTTACTAATTTTGATCTTGCAATAATAACTCTATATCAGACCTGGGCAAAGTGCAGCCCTAGGGCCATATACGGCCCGCGAGCCGCTCCTGTCTGGCCTGCCGGTCGTCACTCCAGTCCGGTGTTCAAGCCCAAGACAGACTGGATTTCTCTCACTGAACAAGTTGAACATCAAAACCATTTATAGCTTTTTGTCTAAAGTTGATCAGTTGTTTATCTTTAACGTACCGCAAAAAAAACCTCTTTAGTATTTGTGAAGATTAACAAGCTTAAAATAAAAGCAAACATCACAGTTTCATTTTATTTTTAAGTAAAATTGGTTCGGCCCCCGAACACAGTTCAGATTTTTCATGTGCTCCCCTATAGAAATTAATTGCCCACCCCTGCTCCATATCCTATTCCATTGCAACGAAGGAGGAAGCAGAGTCCTGTCCTTGGGAGCTAGACATACTCATATTTGTCACTTTTCAACATATGGAGATGTGAACTTCAGTGCTGGAGCAGTTATTTGTAATCAGTCAAGACTAAAATACTAACTTTTCTGTCCCTAGCCTTAGCAATTCTAGCAGCATCCTCTTATGTAAACTTATATCCTTTACCATCATATTGCAGATAGAAAAAGCTGGAGAAGTGGAAGAGTAGCTGCATTCAAATACAGCATTACACAATTGTCAATGTTTACAGGGTAGAGTCAAGGTGGGCTTGAGATAACACAGCCCCCCTTTCTCCAGCACAGCACTAAGGACAGCAACACTTTCTTTTCCATTAGCCACAGTTTATTACTACATTCAAGCCTAAAACTGAAGTTGGATAATTATAATTTACAAATAAGCCAACTTCAAACCATGTTTCACTGGTCTAAATTATGGTGTGCTTCAACAGACCATAATTTAGGCTGGCTACAGGTTAAGAGATAGGCAAAATGTTGAACATTTTATTTTTTAAAAAAGCAAAAACTTATAATCTCACAGATACAATGGAGGAGAAAAAGGAGGACACGAGAACAAGCTTGTTGCCCTAATGACACAGCAGTTTATTCTTCTACCCAATTACAGCTGACTGCTTAAAGGCACCTAGCATATTCAGGGATACAATGAAATTTAAATTGAGACTTTATGATATTTACATTGGCTCCCTTTTTTATGAAAATAGCTTGACAGGTGATAGGTCATATAGGAAGGATGCAACAAAATGATTTATAAGAAAGTGTAGTGTCAGAAGTATGTGTGACAGTCATTCAGTGTTTATACATAAATATCAAATATTATACATAGTTGGTATGATAAATTACCGTGTTTCCCCGAAAATAAGACAGGGTCTTATATTAATTTTTGGTCCAAAAAAACGTATTAGGGCTTATTTTCAGGGGATTTTTTCCATGTACAAGAATCTACATTTATTCAAATACAGTCATGTCATCTTCTGGTTGCTGCACAATGGTGGAGAGAGGGGTTTCACTTAACAAGGGCTTTTTTGGGGGTAGGGCTTTTATTACGAGCATCCTGAAAAATCACACTAGGGCTTATTTTCAGTGAAACAGGGTATGTTATCTAATATAAATAAAGTAATATAATATATAATATAATATAAATATAAATAAAGTATAATATAAAGGAAATATATGAAGGCAGGCATGAGAGGATGATTTACCACAAGATGGACCTTTTAAAGGGGTTTAGACAAATTCAAGGAAAATAAGACTATCAATGGCTTAGAATCATGATAGCAATATCTCTGTTTATTGCTAAGGAATGTGACCAGAAGAACACTGTATTGCTTATGGATTTCCCATAAGCATCTGGTTGCTCAATGAAGAAACAGGACAAGAGAATAGAGAAGATATTGATCTGATCCAGCACAACACTCCCTATGCTCAAACTATGAGTAGGATTTTCAAGGTATGTAAAGTATATTCCACCTCAAAGTTAGCACAGCACAAACACTGAAGTTACACTTTTCAAGGTTAATCCTTTTCCTCAGAGGTTTGTAACTGCAAAGCTCCAACAAAGTATTCAATGTGAACTGCAAACCCTTCCTTGACACAGAAACTGTTGCCTTCATATTATTAGAGTTGCTGAATGATGTCTGGTAATAGTTTTTGAAAGTGTCTTTGTCTTTGATAATATCACAAACTCAGTGATACTTAACTTAACCCCAATTACTATAAAAACACCAACAGCGTAATATGTGTAACATTACAAATCCAACCTGCAGGATTGACAAGTTCTTCACATTTTGGCAAATGTCATTTCTCTTTCCTGTATACCCTTCCCAGAGAAAGAAGGTGGAGTAAGATTCAGGATGATAGGACCTAAAAACTGCTAGGTTCATAAGGCTTTGTGCATTATTTTCAGGGTATTTTATGAAGATATGTTCATTGTCTTCAACAGATTCCAACTCACAGTACAGTATGTTTAGAAGTATTTGTGAGACATGATTCTATTATGAAATACTAAAACCACCTCAGAAGCATTTACAACAAGACTGTAGCATAAATCAAAGCAGAGCCAATGACTTAGATGTGGAATCAAAGTCTGAGAAAAGGTCTGTGACATAAAAAGTGGGAACCAAAACCTGCATTCTAGGGCTTATTTTCAGGGAAACAGGGTATGTTATCTAATATAACATACCCAAATACTAAATTAGTATCCCCCCCCCTTGCTCTCCTTTCCCTCATTTGGTTTGCACTGCATGGAGTTCTACATCTTCCTCTGTAACTGGAGCGATCCTTCAAAGCAATTCAAGTGTATGAACAAATTTGTGCCAGTTTAAAAAAAACCCACAAACAATGGGGGGCATCTTTGATTCCTCCATTGAGCAGGGGGTCCGACTAGATAGCCTTTAGGCCTCTTCCGTCTCCATTACATTATTTCTTTCCTACAGCAAAAACAAAACAAAAAAATCCTTACAGGGTTTATCTGCCATAGGCTTTTGTGGACTGCTGCTCCCAATTTAAAGCTCAGTTCTGTTCCCCACTGTCTGGGCTCCTCTATTTCCTCCCAGGGGAGGGGAGCCTGCTGTTCTGCAGTGCATTCTGCAGACTGGTTTTTTCTGCAGTAGAACTGCTGCCCCTCTACTACTGCAAGATGCAGTAGTCATTTCAACCACCCCTTATAGCAAACCATGCTCCGCAACACAGAAAGACTTGTCACACATACTTATTAAAGGAAATATCTGAGCTAGCAAGAAGAACACATGAACCCAAGTCTTTCTCTTTCACCTTTCATCCCAATACACACCTTTTGCAAGTTTATTTGCCTGATATACCTTTGCAACAGGGCATTTAAGACAGGAAAAAGTTAAGCGATTACCAACATATTCTTGCAGGTAACTTACATCCCTCAACTATGTATTTTACATCAGGGGCAGACACAGCCTTCGCTTTATCGAGGACCACATTCCCTCACAAGAATCTGTTATAGACAACATGCTAGGTAGCAACATGCCAGTAGCCAGAGCTAAAAAGAAGATAAACCCACCTTATTTCTCTCTTTCAGTCCCTGCTGCTGGAGAAATAACAAATTACTCTTCTAAAATTAGGCTAAGAACCAAATGAAATGAAACGAAAAGCTCCATGCCGCCTAAGGACTAGAATATGCCCATTCCCCTCTTATCTTAACATTGTCTAGTTCTGTAAAAACAGGACAAAGGCACACATTTTTATTCACTGGAGTTTTTGCTCTAAGAAGTGTTGTCACTCTTTATGCTAGAATCAATTTGTGCTTCAAAATACCTTCAAGTGCCAGGAATTAAGCATCAAACCGGAACGTTTTTCACCCATGATGGTGGTGAAAACAAAAGCTAATTACAACACCCATAATAAAATGCTTCCTTCTGTATTGAGTCTCCAATGTGAGAGGAATGCCAGGACTCAGGCCTCTTTGGAAATCTTCAAGAGAACTGGAAGCCCCCCTGCTCCTACTCCCCGAATACAAATGGCTACCCCTCAAAAGGGCACTCTGCACATGCTCAGACGCATTCCTCTCTGGGCCGCCTTCTTGTCTTTCCAGCCCATACCACTGCCTGCCTGTTCGTAGGGTGGTAAGGATTATAATGTTTGTCTTTGGGGGGGGGACATGCTACCGTCCGCAGAGGGGGAAGTAGAAGCCTTGCCTCAGCTTTCCTTAAACGCCTCCACCAAGGAAAAGGATCTCAAATCCCACCCCCCACCCCCCGAGACTGCAAAGGAAACAACATTTCGGCCTTCCTATACTGCAGTCAAGCCTGCCGAAGGATTAA